GAGGCGGCTTTCCCAGCGCCATAGGCAGCTCCCAGCCCATGCTGCAAGGCAGTCATCCTTGTCACAGCGATGGAGCTACACGGAGAAGGGAGCACCAACTTTCCTTATATTGCTTCTGCAACGAGACAGCTGCTGGGGCACTCTGGCATGTCGTGTCTTTCATGCTCCCTGGTGGCAGCAGAGCCAGCTGCCCCCAGCCTGCTGCTGCTGTGGGGCATCCTTGGCGTGGTGTAGCTCCGGCTCCTGGACTCCTGCGTGCCTGGTGACAGAGGGTAAAGGGTCGGAGTGTAAGACCACAGGGAAACCTCTCTGCTCCCCCTGTCAGAGAGGAGAGGTGGTCGGTGATGCCTCCCCACCATGCCCCAGTGCCCGGGGCCGAGGGTGGTGGGGTGGGCTGTGCGTGCTTCGGTGCAGCTGGAGGAAATGGCCGAGCCTGGGGCGAAGGTGGGCGGTGGGTCGCAATGCTTAGCTCTCCCCCCACTGCTTTGAGCCCCCTCCCTGAAGCCTAGCTGCAGCAAAGCGAGCAGCGCGAGGAGCTGGAGTCCCCGAGCCCCCTGTGTCATTTACATACACCACACCGGCACCAGCGGCACAGCAACCTGCGTTTGTGTAGCACCGCAGACCCTCTCCGAAACAGCCTCCCTTTCTCTGCTTCCTGACATGGCCCTGGGCTTCACGGTCCTGCTCCTGGTGGGGACGGTGGGGACAGGTAAGGGCGGCGTGGCTGAGCTAGCTGCTGTCTGGCAGGGGGCACTGCGGGGTGGTGGGCAGGACTGGGCTCTACAAGGGGGATGTTAGTCAGAGAAGGGGTGTGTGGTGTGATGAGCAGGATGGAGGTTGGGTAATGGGGTTGCCTCAAGGGAGCAGGGGGACATTCTGGGGCTGAAGGCTATGGGGGACATTGCTCAGCCCATCAGTAATTGCATCCTTGGTGTGCACAGCTTCCAGGGCTCAGCCCGTGCTTACCCAGCCAACCTCCGTGTCGGTGCTGCCCGGGCAGACCGCTCGGCTGTCGTGCACCCTGAGCCCCCAGTACAATATCAGCGAGTTTGGCATCTCCTGGTACCAGCAGCGCCCAGGGCACTCCCTGAGGTATCTGCTCTATTACAACTCCGAGCGAGACAAGCACAAGCCTGCCAAGATTCCCGACCGCTTCTCTGCTACCAAAGACCTCGCCAGCAATGCCTGCATCCTCATGATCGCATCCGCCCGCCATGAAGACAACGGCAACTATTACTGCTCCCTGTTACGTGCCTTCAACTGGTTTTAGAAACGGGGAACAAAAGCTTTCTGCATTTTCCCTTGCAACCCTGACGCAGAGCCCTCAACAGGGAGAAGGGCAGCCGGAGGAGGAATGGAAAAAGCCCCTCTTGCATGCTTGAGCGAGCCCAGCGGCGCTGCGTTGTGCCGTGACGTGCAGCAACCTCCTCTTCAGCCCCCACCGTCCCCCATGGAGCATCAGACAGCCCGACACGGCATGAGATCTGCCAGGGTGCAGCCCAGGAACACACGGGCACAGAGACCTGCTGCTGTGGTGGCAGGACGGAGAACTCCGCCGTGGCCGGGCTGTGCCGGGCTCTTCCAGCACTTGGCAAGATGCGGGCTTGATCCCGGCTTGGGCTTCGGCGTGGTTTGGCTCACCTGACAATAAAGGTTAATCCTTAGCTATGTGGCTTGTGTCATGTCTGCAGTGTCCAGGGGAGCCCCTTGGGCGTCCCCCCCCGGGGATGGCGCCATGCCCCGGGGCACCGCAGTTTGGAGGGTGAGCGCACGGCGCTGTGGCGGCCAGTTGAGCCGGGATGGAGCTGGCTCACCCACCTTCCCCAGAGACCCCCACCCGCGGCGCCCTGCCCGCGGGGAGCTCCATTCCCC